TGTGTGTGTGTGAGTGTACCGTCAAATCAGATCTGACTGGTACAGGAGGAGATTGTCCCTCCTTTTCCCGGCAGAGCATCTGGTGGATTCGAACCATGAGCCACTGGGATTGTAGTTGCAGCTCCTTGCCACTAGGCCACCAGAGCTCCCCTTCATTTGGTTTTTCAATCTATCAAGTCTCTCAAGCAATTTTTTTTAAAAAAAGCTGTAAATTCCTCCCATTCAGAGCTCAATAAATAAGTCCATATCAAACATGACTTTTTTTTTTCATTTTATAAAAGACCAAAAGTCTATTTGCATTTTTCATTATTCTATCATCCTTTGCCTCTGCTGCCTTTGATGGGCTGTGAGATGAGACAACTAATAGTGTAGCACACACTCTTATCTGTAAACCTTTGGGCCTAATTTCTTCTCCAATGCTAGGTCTTGAAAGCACCCTGAAAATAACTGAAGTGAGCAGCTGCCAGCTTGTTCATATTGTGCTTAATATCTACACTCCAGGCCATATCCATAGCCTTTTCTGCTGGCTAGAGAATGATTCAACAAAGGACTGAGAGAACATTTTCCAGAAAGGATTGATATGTTGACTATGGTTTCTTTCTTTCTGTGGCTGAGATAGCATTGTACAATAGCGAGAAGCAAAAGGAAACTGTTAGCTGCATTGTGGTCTAGAGACTGACTCGCTCATAGCTACCTCACGGCTGTGTGTCCAGTTGGCTAGAAGTCATTCTTACTCAGAATTTCTAAAATGATTAGTGGCAGAAATGGACACACCTTTACACACATTGAGAAACTGCTTAAACATTTGGTTTGTCTTTTTCATTATCAAAGAGGGAATAATAGCTCTCCCTCAAATCAGCATGTAATGAAAGTTTGCATCTTGTAGATTCCATGGAAAGGTTGACAGTGAAACAGAACATCCACTTTATTGATTTTCAGTAATAACATATTCCTTTTAGAATGCAGGTAAAATTGTGTGCCAAAATTATCAATGAGATTTTCTGTGGAGTAAAAAAGTTTTTGGAAAAATTCCAACCTGCTAAGAACAGATAAAATAAATGTACCTAGAAGCTAACACATTAGGGATATTTGGAGCTATATATTCACAAAATATAATTTTTCAAGTAAAGCATACTGAAATAAATGTAAGTATACATTCATAAATTTGACCTCTTAGAGCCATTTCCAATTAATAAATTCAAGGTTTTTTAATCTAAATAATAAACAAATTATTTCTCTATGAATATTGGTTCTGGAATTACCTGTATTGCTTTCTGGTATCATGGCCAATTGCATTGGTCTCCCAAATTTTGGTAGCCAGAACTCTAACTGTATTCAGAAAGAGAATAAAATTCAGCTGAAAGAGAAGAGTGCAAAGAATCATTATGTTAGTCTTCAAGATGTTTCATATAAAAACTACATAAATTAACAAATTTCCTACATGACTGAAAACTGATGCACTCGACAAGTGTACATTAGGAGATCTTAAATGAGATATTGGGAAGCAGGTGATTCCTGACTTGTCTTCATGAGAAGAGTAGCAAGATAGAAAGTTTCGATGTCAGTGGATACAACTGTCAAAAGACGATCAATAAGAAGGATAATGTGCCGGAATCTAAAGGGAATTTCCAAGCCAGAGTTTAGTGGGAGCCCTGTCAAAGAATGGCAGAACAATGGATGATAGTTAACTCTATAAATGTAACATACAACTCTTTTAAAAAGGAAATCCTAAATTCTGTCTCTGTTTTAAAAAGGGGATTAATAGAGTCGTTGAGGCCAATGCCAAAACTCTCATGAATTATGAACATACCAGGTAGAGTATAGAAGGCTTCTTTTCAAGAGGTGAGTAAGATGTTGAGTAAGAAAGACTCCTTTGTTAGACAGTTCAATTGAGTCCAGAGTTTCGTTTGGGGGGGGGGCATTATCAGGTTCTGGCTTTTTTTCTTTTCTTTTTTCCTTAGATTTTATTTTATACCGGTTTACATACAAAGTTCATAAAGTTCATATACATTGGTTTTCACACTGGACCTTACAGATACTGCCTATTTAAAGTAATGGAGGGAATATGTTGGTGGGATGAGCTCTTTTGTGTCACAAGGTCTCAATAATCAGTGATGAGACTTTATCACATAGGGTCCTCTCATTCATATATGTAGCCCAGAATGTGCTAGTATATAAGAACAATGGAAACGTGAGTTTTGAAGGGTGGGGATTATGTCGGGGCCAGTGCAAAGGACAATAACCATTAAGTTCTGCATTCCTGGTCTGGCAGAGAGAGTCCTTGCTCTTTTCTGGAATTTGGAGACTATCTATCACAAAGTGATTTACATTTACTCCCCAGAAGAACTGATCTTCTGCATCCATCCTTGATCCTCACTGCTCTCTTTGCCATCCTACCATTACCTATTCTTCTCACTAAATTCTCAAAAGCTGGGGGCTTGACTTTAGCCTCTTACCTGTAGGAAGGACAGAGTTATACTGTGAGCTAGGGAAAGAAGAGGAGTAAGCTTTCCAGGCTATTAATAGCTGTCATTAACCAAACACTCCCAAACATATGTCTTCACATCAATATGGGGAGCCAATTATATCACACCCTTTCATTATGGCAAAGAAACTCCAAAACAAATTTATTTGATCTTTGCCTCAGATGTATCAGCTGTATTTTGAATCAAATCTGTGTAATATTGTGTTGAGCATTTTTTACTACTGTGCATATAAACTTCTGCACAGCAGAATAAAAAGACACACACATGAGAGACTTTCCATCCACACTCACGCAGTATATAAACCCAGATGACAAACACAGAATCTTTGTTAAAACGAGGGGAGAATTGGCTCATTTATCCTACATGTGGGGTTTTCTGAGTGGCCAAATTTTACCACCATTAGTTTCTCTTACTCTGAGAATAGTTGTTGCTAGCTGTCATCAAAATGAGTACAACTCACAGTGACGCTATGAACAACAGATCTGAACTCTGACCCATCTTCATCATCACTGACACACTTGAGCCCATTGCTGCGGTCATGATATCAATTCAATCGAGGGTCTTTCACTCTTTTGCTGATCGTCCACATTTTTAAGCATGATAGCCCACTCCAATGAATAATAGCCTTTTCTAGAAACATGTCCAAAGTATGTGAAACGAAGCTTTGCCATCTTGCTTCCAAGAAGCATTTTGAACGTACTTTCTCCAAGACATATTTGCTCTTTTGGAAGTCAGTAGAATATTCAGTACTCTTCTCCAAAACCACAGTTCAAAGGCATTAATTCTTCTTCTCTAAAACCACAATTCAAAGGCATTAATTCTTCTTCTGTCATCCTTACTCACTGTTGAGTTTTCAGATGCATAGTAAGTGGCTGGAAAGACCATGGTTTGAATCAGGCACACCTTAGTCCTCAAACTGACATGGTCGCTCCTCAGTAATTTGGCTAGGTCTCTGGCTGCACACTTTCCCAGTATGGTATGTCTCTTGATCTCCTGACTGATGGTATCAAGGGTGTTGATTGTGGACACACACATGATCAATGCACTGACAATTTCAAGGTTTTTTTATCATCTATCATGATGTTACCAATTGGTCAAGTGGTGAGAATTTTTGTTTTTGTGATTTTGAGATGTAATCCATATTGAAAGTTGTAGTCTTTAACTTCTACAAGTGCTTCAAGTCCTCCTCACTTTCAGCAATCAAGGTTGTATCATCTGCAGGTTGTTGATGAGTATTCCTCCAATCCTGATGGCACATTCTTCTTCAGAGTCCAGCTTCTTGAGTGATCTGCTTAGCATACAGATGGAATAGGTATGAAGAAAGGGTACAACCACGATGCACAGCTTTCCTAGTTTTAAACCATGCAGTGTTCCCTGGCTTTGTCCCTTTGTAGGGGACTAGGTTTCACATAGCATAATTAAGTGCTCTGGTATCCCCATTCTTCTCAATGTTGCTGTTATTATGTGTAGTTGAGTCAAGTATGACTCATCAAAACTCTATGAACAAGAGATCTGAAACCTACCCTATCCGGTGCCATCCTCATACTTCCTGACTCCCTAGATCCCATCAAAGCAGTCACTGTGTCAATCCACCTGCTTGTGAGTCTTCCTCTCCTTTCCTGACCCTCTGCCCTTCTGGACACCATGTCCATCTCTAGAAAATAGCCCCTCCTAGCAATGTACTCAAAGTATGTTAGGTGAAGCATTATCATGCTTGCCTCCAAAGAGCACCCCAGCTACATTCTCTCCAAGACACAGTTGTTTCTTTTTCTGACTGTCCATGGGATGTTCAGTACTCTTTTCCAACACCATACCTCAAAGGCAACATCAATTCTTCTTCTGTCATCTTTATTCATTGTCCAGTATATCAAGTGCATATTCAATATATATTCTTCTAAATAGTAGCCATAATTTGTTGTGCTAAACACAGTCAAATGCCTTTGCATACTCAATAAAACACAAATAGTCTTCTGGCATTCTCTGCTTTCAGTCAGGATTCATTTATGGAACATTGATGCAGTGGGTTGTGAAGACAATGAGAGTGATACTATGTATGAAGTCTGAAGTGAAAAAAATTTTTTTTAAATTTTTTTTTATTTTTATTTTTGTGTGAGTGTACCGTCAAATCAGATCTGACTGGTACAGGAGGAGATT